GTATCTATAATGCTTCCCCCATCTACCAGAGGTATTAGAGACTGCTGTTGGGCGGGAAATGTCCGTAATTTGGCTCAGTGACCTCCTTTGGAGATACGAGGTTCTTTTACGTGCCGTAAAGCTACGACACGGGACCCACGGCTTAAAGTCCCTCCCGGAGGGCTTGTTCCCTGAATTTTTCCGCCCTTAAAAATTCGACGACCTCCGCCGGGTATTTGAACCCGCGTACTATGAGTCATGAGGTGGGAACGTTACCTCTAGACTACGGAGGCCGCTACATTAATCATCATAGTCACCACCTTCAGAACCTCAGACCTCAGTGGGATTTTTCCCCTGGACACCGCCAAGATCTGCCTCCTATCCAATGCGAACTCGGGTGTGAATCAAATGTCTCACCTAGTGCCAAGGTTAATGTGTTGAGATTTACATCCACTCCCCCCATACATCATAAAGACACGTTACATTGCACTCACGAGAAATACCCCACAGACACTGCTACTTTACCCAGATAGCGTCACTTTCATATGCGAACAGGAATGGCGTCCAGTATGGATAGCTGAGCATACCTGCATCCATAGCCACGCTGAGCGCGCTTTAGGTCTACCTGTTCTCTGAGGCGGCCTTGGTGGCGGGGTTTTCTGTAGCCCGGGCCATGTATGATGAAACAGTTGGGGGGGGGGCAGAAGTTGAAGGCGTTCCATAGGAATTCCTGAGTTGCCACATCTCTGGACCACAAAGTGTCAAAAGATATCCGATACCGGACGTCCGGTTATATGATGTATTAACGGGCAACCCCTTCTTTCGAAGGGTTCCATCTGTGATGTGACGTCGTGTAATCTGGTAATTGTTTGCGAGCGCTTAGGCGGATCTTCAAGGTCGAAGACCGAAAAAGCAAGTCAAGCAACCTGAAATACGCGTCTTGCTAATTGTTCAACCCTGAAGATGAACCCAGTACGTTCCTTTGAAACGTCGGTACTCTTCTACCACACTACAAGGCGGTGAATATGAAGAGTATAGTATTCTGGGTTCTAACACCGTAGAGTTCGGAGAGAGCTGGAACTTTCGGAGAAACATACGGCCTCTATCTTCAGGATCGAAAAATAAATGAAGCAAGAAAGCAGAAGAAGAGAAGCCTGCCTGCTTCCGCTGGTTTCTTGATTGGCTCATTCGTTGATGACCAAAACGTATAAAGATCCCTTCTCACATTCGTCCCCGAAACAAGAGGCGGCATGGGGACAATCCTGTCAGGAGAGATTCCGTTGTGTACAAGTAAAGAAAATTCTCCCTGCCCCAATGTCCTTCACCAAGAAGTATCTCCGTGGAGCAAAATCCTTATTGGAAAGCTGATAACAGCTCAGCTGGGCAACAAATTACAGTGTTCACAAAAACCAGCCACTGGACCCCTATTTTTTTATTGCTAGTGGGGTGGGACTAAGTCCCTTGTACTGCGGCCACTTCTGGCCTATTGTACCAGCCCCAGATGATAGGTGAGGGTTATTGTGGAGCAATTGGTGGAATGAAGATTGGCAGAGGAAACCGAAGTACTCGGAGAAAACCCGCCCCAGCGCCATTTTGTCCACCACAAATCCCACTTGACCAGAACCGTGATCGAACCCAGGCCGCCGCGGTGGGAAGCCAGCGAATAACCGCTTGAGCTATGGTGTGGCTCCACTGGACCCCCAAACCTGAGCTGAATCCAGTCCACAATTTTACACCATGTTTCTTGTAACACTGAACCAATGACTACACAGCTATAAGCAGTAACTTCGTAGACACATACAAGGACATAAACACGAAGAATTGTGAGGGGGGACCACCCACTTGGATACTCCAGCTCCAACTAACCGATCGACAATGCAATGTTATCCCACATGGTGGTCAAGTCTGTATAACCTGAACAAAATCACAGTAAGTCTAAGGGCGGAGGCACATCAAGGAAACTGGCAACCGCAACGCAACCGTTGAACACACGTTAGTGAATGGAGCAGCGCAAATTGAGGAAACGGCAACGTAGGAAACTGCGCTACTCCATTCAGTAACGTGTTCAACTCAGGCTGATAACAATTCTCGGAAATTTCGGTTGCGTTGCGGTTGCCAGTTTCCTTGGTGGGCCCTTGCCCTAAGGTATATGCTACGATTCGACTGGCTCGGTATCTGGAGGCTCAACTCGATAACTGAACATCACTAGACACGATCCTGAACCTTAAAATCACTTTCCTAACATCCGTCTTAATGTTATCTTTCCGTCTCTCGATCTCCAACAAGGGTTGCTGTATAAGGGGTTTCGCCACCAAACTGCTGCAGCATTAGGGGCCAGGATATGTCACTCCAAATGTCGAGAAGCTACCGGCTGGACTGCAGAGGAACAGGGGTTGCATTCCAGGCAGAGGCAAGATTTCTATTTTGTATTTCCACAGCGTCAAGACAGACTCCGAGTGGTCAAGAAACCTCCTACACACTGGACATCAGAGGCTTTTCGCCGGGGAGTAGAGCTGAGCACTCACGTACATACAGTGCCGTCATTACAAATAGACCTAGATAATAGGCAGTGGCAAAGAGGTAAATTCCATAGTACAGTACCTTACAATAAGTGAGACCTCTTCCTCCCAAATTATTTTCGATTCACCATTAGAAGCCGCCTTCTCGTTCCATGAAATATTAAATATACAGTTGATAAACTGTTGTCAAATAAAACAACAAATGAAGTATATAATACATTAGTCATTTGCAAGGGATTTGAATAAACCTGGTTCCGTAGGCCACGGTTTGGTTTATGGTCTACTTAACGATGCTCTCTGTATAGCTCAGGTAATATAGGGTCGAATGATAAGATGATTAATTAATTTATTTACTTACTTACTCACTCATGGAACTGAGCCCTTCTGGAGCCGCCGCCAATTCTGCAGCTACTCAAGAAGTTTCCAGCATTTTATGCAACCCGAAGGTTCATTACCGTGTTCACAAGAGCCCTCCATTGGTCCCTATCCTGAGTCAGAACAATCCAATCCATACCATGTCATCCTATTTCTTTAAGATCCATTTTAATATTGTCCACCCACCTACATCTTGGTCTTCCTAGTGGTCTCTTTCCTTCTGGCTTTCCCACCAATATCCTATATGCATTGCTTTTCTCCCCCACTCGTGTTACATGCCCTGCCCATCTCATCCTCCTTGACTTGATCATTCTAATTATACTTGGAGAGGAGTACAAGTTATGAAGCTCCTCATTATGGAGTGGTAAGATAATTAACAAATGATTAATTGCGAAGGAAGCTGACATTGCCTACTGCAACATACTGTCCCGACATTCGTTGGTGGGACTGAGTAAAGCCTCGACAAACCTCGCTGCTCGGCCGAGGTCCGAAGCAGGCACCTTCCGAACAAAATTCAGAATGGTTACCGTCTGAGTCAGCGTGCTCGGCTGTAGGTTCCGGGCAGCTTTTTGCATGAAGCCAAACATTCGGTAAACTGAAATGGCGTAACTGTGAAAACAGGAATTTGCTAAATACGATTCAGTCACGTGATTGGGGCATATCTTACATCAATTTATCGATTTCTTCTTCTTCTTCATAGCGTGAGTGTCCTGTGTAAAGAATAAAGCGTAAATGTTCCTTTTATGAAGCAAAAAGTCAAGTTCATCCGCCGCTGTAGTTCCATTCGTTTTTCAAGTATCAATTCTTTCTGCTATTTTAACTGAATGAAACTGGCAACCTGATGCCAGGAAACAACAAACGTTACATGCATTACTACATAATGTTTATATGTGGAATTTTATTTTTCTTCACAAGAACAGGAATGGATAAGCCTTACAAAGCATTATAATTAGTCTCTGTCTCTGAGACAGCGCCGACTTTACTTAAAGAAAAGTTCAAGACTCCGGACCTGAACACGGCAACAGTTTATACAACAGGACAACGCACGAACTTCCTTCTTTAATCATATTATAATAAAAGATAAAAAAACTTGCGCCCACGGTTACCGTTAACCTTTGAACCAATGATCGGATCTTCACGAAAGTTGGTATGAATATCATAACCCCTAGAGACCAACCTGCCGCTGTACTTTTAAAATTTCCTTCCAACGGCAATACCAGCACAGAATTTGTATGAACTATTGAGATGGGCCGCCTGTGTGGTCTAGTGGTCAGAGTTCCTGGCTACAGATCCAGAGGTCCCGGGTTCGATTCCGAGCGCTACCAGATTGTCAGAGAAGTATGGGTCTGGAACGGGGTCCACTCAGCCTCATGATAATAAGTGAGGATCTATTTCAAGGAAATAGTGGCTCCTGTCTGGAAGACCGAGATTAACGGCCGTGGGGATTTGTTGCGCTGACCACGTGACACCCCTCTATCCGCTAAAGTTGGCACTAACTTCGCGGCGGTCGCTCGGTCGCACTGGATACGAAGCTAACGATGTACAAAAGAGCCAGTTGAATACAGTCCAAATCCTCACACCCTCCTCCTTTAATATTATAATCACATGCACGCCAAAGTCCGAGTAAATGCTGCATGTGGCCGTCATCTCTTAAGTACGCATTACACTTCCCGTCTATCTCACTGTCTCTAATATAATTTGCTGAAAAGTATCGCGAGAAATATTACCACAGAGCATAAGAAATTAAACACCAAATGAACCTACATAGACGCATGATCTGGTACCGCTCGAACACTGGTAATGCAGGTTCCAATACCTGTCGGGGTGTGGCAGCATGTCCGCGTTTTTATGCATTGGTGTCGTGTGTAGGTTGTACTCCTGAGTTAAGCCGGACCCACGTGTACGAGGTCTTATGAAATATTTAAACTATGAAGGTCCCAAAATTATTAATATTTTCAGATTTAACTCTGAGTCAGATCAAGTCAGACAGCTTAATCCGGTAAAGCTAAAGAAGAAGCTGCCCAGTGAAAGAGGTGCAAGATCATAACTTACAAGCGTCTATCCCTTGCCAAGTTCAGTGTGATGATGGTGGTGTTTTCCACGGAATGCAATGTTTCTGTAACTCACCATTCGAGTCTCGATGTCGATTCCCGGTTTATGCTTAATCTTAGCGACGCTGCGACGTTCACCGCCCAAGATTGGAGTACAGAGGAAGTAGCGAGAACTGCGGCGGCCGTCGCGACGGTACCTGTCCAACTGACGCATCATGTGAACCGGCGTCTTCGCCGCCGTCTCATAAAGCCGTTGTACGCATTCCGGTCGAGTCCCAACCGCGAAGAGATTCTTGGTGGCGGCCACATCTTCGCAAGAGGAGAAGTGCTCAGTTCTCAGGCTGAACGTCGTTATGTCGCTCTCAGCTGCAACACAGAGGAAGGTATGGTTTCAACATATGCAGTAGCTTGCCGACATATTATGGAGGCTAATCAGGTTCCTCGGTGTGGTTCCTTGGTTTAGGGATAAAGCTCCCGGAAATGATCAAGGTCATAAGTGTAGGTCCAAGGGCTGGAAAAAAACAGAAATGGGAAAATTTAATGTTACGTTATTATGTTTGGAGTCCGCATCAGTTCGCTCTGTGTTAGATATGAAAGGTTTTAGAGCAGGCCAAGACCCACAAGCCGGTCACGGTAGCAGAGCGGTCTAAGGCATACTCGTACACTGACTTCGCTCGCTCGGAAGCCGGGATCGTGGGTTCGAATCCCACACAAGACATGGATGTTTGGTGTGTGTACGCGTTTATTCTGTCTGTGTTGTCCTTTGTTTAGGTAGAGACCTAGAGACGAGATGATCGCCCTTCCAAGGAGTCCTACCCTCTGTAAAAATGATCAATGAAATTAAGAAATCAGTCCTATGCTCCAAAGTGGGAGCGAGAGGGGAAAAAGACCCACAAAGGGTCAAAGGCCCAAGAGAGGAACACAGAGGATGTATGGGAAAAGGGAGTAGAGGAAAATATTTGGTAAGAGAAGGCAGTAAGTAAGAGGCAACTATTTAATTTAGCTATTAATTAATTAATTCAGCACAGCGCCATGCAGACGTATGGGGAATTGGAAGTATAGCTCCACCATTCTCGACCTCGGAACCAGATTGAAGTGAGAGTGGCCAGTTTCACGCTTCGGCTGCTTTATCCCCGGAGAAAGGATCCCCGTTACCAATTGGATATGAGGCTGGGTGGGCCCCAGAGCTGATCTAGACGTTGTGGAATACAGAAAAATCTCTTGCCCCTGACGGTAATCAAACCCCGACCATTCAGCTTGTAGTCCGTCGCTATACAGACTGTTCTATCCCAGCGAGGGGCGAAAGAATTAGATGGATAGACAATCATGATTTCTTTGTACTGTCCCAGAACTCGTCTGGGTGGACTGAAGAAAACTACGATATAACAGACTGGCTTCAGCCTTTTCATGGATGGAACCAGAAAAAGCGGCCGAGGAGAGGAGATGACCATTCATCTCCACTTAGTGCTTGGGTGAAGAATGCGTAATGCTATATCTCCAATCTCCACACGTCTCCATTTCGTGTCACCGAATTAAGCACATGAACAATATCTAAACTCAACATTTTTACAAAGTCTTGGCGATTCCAGCCGTATTACAGGGTTCAATGCCGTTTGTTTTGCGGAAAGGAGATTAAATTAAAATTTCATCAGCAGAAATGAAATTCTTCGTGCTCCGAAGGTAAGTAAATAATAACTTAAGGCAAAATTGATAAGAACATACGGTAGGAATTAATTCTGACCGTCTTCAAAAAGAAATTCTGATACACCGACCAAAAGGAAAAAGACATGTTGGCAGACCGAGGAAGAGATGGAAATGAAGTCCGGAACTCGGGTCATTTGAGATTTTTTGTGGACAAAGTGACACTGGGGCAGGTTTTCTCCGAGTACTTCGGTTTCCCCTGCCATTTCTCATTCCACCGACTGCACCACACTCATCATATATCATCCGGAGCTGGTACAATATACCAGTTAGTGGCCGCAGTACCAAGTGGACTCAGTCTCACCCCACCCCAAGAAAATAACTAAAAAAAATCGTAAGTCTTTTTCTAACCGAAATCCCTAAACGTAGAAGAAGATGGTGATCGTGATAATGGACAACGTTTACCTTTACCTCTAGACCTGCCATCCCAGCTAACTGCCTAGTCACACGAGAATGGCGACGGCGGCTTACAAAACACAAGAACGCCTATATTTTGCAAGATCTCCATCCCGAACAAAACTACACAGAAATTCCTGTCACCGTAGAAATGTCTTACGGTCCTGCTTAAGAAACTGGAGAGGCGCCTTTGCCTTAATGACGGTCCTCTCTCTCTCTCCTGTGCCTTGCCTGCCCACATGCGTAACAATACCGCCCAATAACTTCTCCCTGCTAAGTTGTTGTAATCTGTCTTTTCTTGGAAGAAAGGATTTTCGTATTTCCCCCCCCCCCATTTGGACGTGAAGGAAGTTAAGTAGGGCGACACCAGAAAGGAAAGAAAATATTTCAGGGTTACATTCTTTTGTCGTTCTATTTTCCAGCTGTTCGGGTCCTAATACGCGACAGGTAAAAGACAAAAGACTGAAATATTTGCGTCTCCATAATGCTGTTTCCCAGGTAAGCTTACCACAACATCAAAACAAAACCTCGACGTCGGTTCTTTGAGTTTTCTGAAGCAAGAGACAGCCGTTGATAGGGAACGGCTCTGCAAACACGACCGTTGCTAGGTAACGGCTATACCGACTGCGCTACCCCGGCTCACCTACAGTATGACATACACGTTCCAAATAGAAAGAGCAAGCCTTAATGAAACGAGTATTTTATGTATCTATCAATTACTGCATGATGGATATTGTGGGGGGGGGGGATTGTAGAAATTTGATACTTCATGTTTGTACAGAAGGACCAGTTTAAATCTGAACAACAGCGTTCGGTGTAAACGTTTATGAAGAAACGGAATGCAGTAGCATGGGAGGCCTCTAAGAGATTTAAGGTTTTTACGACGGTGAAAATTATATTGTGGTTGTCTGGGTTCTAACACTAGGCACTTACTACAGGTCTGTAGGAACCTGCTGCCTCCAATCACCATGAAGATGGACGCAGCAGGTTCTTCCGGAAAATTGATACCGCTTACGGGACTACACAATGATCCACAAGGCCACATTATGAAAGATACAATTGGCGTAACAAATATCTTCTTCTTCTGAAGAAAGCAGTCTTCTGGGATTTGGCACCGTGTATATGTGGTGTTAACCGACGTTTCGGAGGAACGTATCGCCTCCATCTTCAGGGTAGAAGAAAAAATATAAGAAATCTGCAAGCGGAGACCGTGAGAACCGGTAAAAGCAGACACAGGCGATACGTTCCTCCGAAACGTCGGTTAACACCACATATACACGGTGCCAAATCCCAGAAGACTGCTTTCTTCATAGTCACCGCCGTGAAAGCCTCAAATCTTACATCTTCTTCTTCTGCCTCCACTTGGCGTATGGGGCGTCCGGGAAACGCTCGTTTCACTTCAGTTTCTTAATCTGAGACGGTCGGTAGGACTCTACCTAACATAAACACAGAATAAGCACAAAGGGACGTCCATTCCTTGAGTGAGATTCAAACCCACGATCCTAGAGTTCGAGCGAGCGAAGACACTTCGTGCCTTACACCGCGCGACCACTGTGTTCGGCTTGTGGGCTCTATAGAGTAGACCTTTTCTTAACCTTTTAGAGCCCGGTGGTTACTATATGACCCATCTGCTATAACACGCATAGGCTCTACATTCTGCGTACAAGAATAATGTATAGTGGAGAACGATCATTTTTCTAAACAGTATTAACCGGTTGATCTCAGTAGCGAAGACGTAATATGTTTCCTGCGAGGAAAGAAACTGAATTCTATATATTATTTAAAATAATTTCAGCCTTTAAAGGATTAATTTGCCGGTCACGGTAGCCGAGCGGTCTAAGGCATGTACTGTCTTCGCTCGCTTGGAAACCGGGATCGTGGGTTCGAATCCCACTCAGGGCATGGATGTTTAGTTTGTGTGTGTGCGTTTTTATGTGTTTGTGTACATGTAGAGGCCTTGCGACGTGCTGATCACCCGCCCAAGGAGTCCTACCGAATGTGTAAGATCTAGAAAGACCGAAGTGAAAGGCCCACTGGGGCTGCAGTGCCAAGGAAAAAAAAAAGGATTAATTTGATACGTCAGGCTTTCCAGAGCAAGGCAGCAGGTGTCACTTGCCGTAACAGCATATGGAAAATGGTCTACACATAGATACCCTACAGGTTACCTTCCGGTGCAAATCAGGTGGCACCGGAATAATTTTATGGGACTGTACCAGGCCGACCATGTATGGGAACAAAGCTGGATGCTGCGGAAGAAACTGCAGTTTGTGGGAACGGCGAAGAGCTGTGGGGCGGGAGATGACACGATAATGGAATGCTGGGTTATAGCCGTCCGAAGCAAACACGTATTGTCTGGTGCTCGCTGAAGCAGTGGAAGGAAAGCTATAAAAGCTGCTTTTGCATGCCAATTGGCTACATCTCCATTATCCATAAGGTTAATAACATGCGTGGAGGTAGTTTCCGAGTCTCGAGAGAGAGAAAACTTTCTGAAACGTGTACGTGTATTTGTATGCTGTACACACAAGGATTTCTAACATTCGGGTATAAAATTCGCAGGTTCAACATGGATATACCGAAAAGCGTTACCGGACACACACCTAAGCTAGCTCCGTAAGGCTAAGTTAAAGTTGTCCCTGTGCTTAAATGATTAAGCCCTACGCCTTGAAGGCGCATGAAGGAGTGGATGTATAGATTCAGGTTTTCTTGACCTCGGCACTAGCTTCACGTCCCGGCCGCTATACTCCCGGGGAAAGAGTCCACGGTACCCATTGGATAGGAGGTTGGGTGGACCCCAGGCCGCGCCATAGCTAAGCGATTAGTCGCTGGCTTACCACCGCGGCGGCCCGGGTTCGAGCCAGGGTCTAGTCAAGTGGGATTTGTTGTGGACAAAGTGGCGCTGGGGCAGGTTTTCTGCGAGTACTTCGGTTTCCCCTGCCAATCTTCATTCCACCAAATTCTCCATCATCATAATCACCCAGGGTAGGTACAATAGGGCAATCAATTGCCGACGTGCCGAGTGGATCCAAGTGGACGACACCCTCCACTATGGGAATTTAAACTTTTTTTTTGGGTGGACCACAAAGCCGGTTTGGACGATATGGAGAAGAGAAAATTCTTGACCCTACCAGGACTCGAAATCCGACCCCTCGGTCGTCCAGGCCGTAGCTAGTCGCTATACCGACTCCTATCCACTTCAATGTCTCATGATCTTTCTGCTTAACATACATCATAACGTTATCGTCCGGTTCCCTCCTCAATTTTCCAACTGG